TCGTATATTGGCCGCGTGTGATCGCCTCTACACACGCCTGGTGCACTCACTTTCCACCAAGTACACGAAGCTTTCGTTTCACCCCTTCCACCGTAGCGGAACGACGTAATAAAAATTCTACGTCCCAGTTCCTCGCCACAAATTACCAACGAAAGATAACAATTTTTCACGTTTTGAATAAATATCCGTAGCTACAGTCCTGAGTATATCTTCTCGATTTTACATACTCGCGAAGATTGTTATTTTTCTCGATAAATTTGCATCGTTTATCTGAAATGCCGCGAAGGAATAATACCGCGATAATTCTATCGTGCCCACGTTACCCCGCTTATTTATTAAAACGTCCCAACTTTAATATCTCGTTAAATACTCATCAAGCGGCAAATATAAAGATAAAGTTGGAGAAGGAAGAAAGGAAAGAGAAAACGGGGAAGTGGCGGAGCTTAAGAAAGAAGAAACCCGTTAAAGCAAGAAGTTCAACGCTCAAAAGGAAGTAAGCCAGTAAATCTGCGGGAAGAGATGCTCGAAAGGGAAGTCACCGTCTAGACCAAGAAGCGCGGCATTTAAATAAAGAAGAGCTCGAAGGAAGAACGACATTTAACCTGCGACGCTTTTCAACAGAGTAGAAAGACAGGTGAGAGAAAGGTCGAGAATTCATCGCGAGTGACGCGTTATTCAATGCGGTACACAGAATTTCCAGGCAGCCATAGACATGACGTATCGACGTGTGCACGATAAGCAGCCTGTTGTGCGACTTACCGCGAAATCGCCATGATTTATGGCGCCACAATTTCGACCGACGACCGATTTATGCCATCGACGAGAGATTAGACACGTAACCGGTGTCTTCCGTGTTGGAAGGCTGTGATAATTGAGTCACGGTTCGCGAGAAAAGCTGTGAAACGCGGGGGTGAGAAGAGAGGCGGGAAGTACGCGTGGAAATGAACGGCGGGTCCTCGATACCTCGGACAATAAAGCACAGGTGAAATATTACCGCGACGAGGTAAATCATCGATTGTATACTTCTTTTCTGGCGGGGGGCATTATGAATCATCTGGTCGTTTCGAGACCAGTTGCAGCGAAGAATCGCCAATGAATTCGCTACTTTTCAATAGAAAAACCGAGCCGCGCGCAACACTGTTTCCACGATATTTTCTCCCATCGTTAATCCGCTATTCAATTTCAAATGGATACCCGCGCTCCTCTCTTCCGGTATCGAGTCACAGAGGAATTTCAATACGCGAGAAATTCAACGATTCCGACGTATAAAAAAAGGTTATTCAACCGATAATCGAGAGTCTCGTAACCTGAACACCGAGGGCTAACGACCTATTTTCCCCGATTCGAGCACGCATTTCTAAATTGAGAAAAGAAGCACGCCGCGCCGCGAGAAACGCTGCCAACCGGGATAAACAGGGGCGGAGAGCGCGTGCCAAAATTCGGGCGGAAAGATGCTCGGAAAAGCGTACGGAACAAACAACGCGGAATAGCTAATCCCGCGATAAACGCGTTTGGAGTGGCGCCAAGTAGTTTTACGGCTTGAGCGTTATCGTGCGACGCTTTTCAAACGGCGGAAAAAAGCGCCGTTTATGAACGGTCTAGCTCGTTACCGCTGTTAAAACCGTAAACACCGACCGCGTTTCAAATCGTTACGAATCCCTTTATGCGGTGTTTCCATGAATGTGAAATGTAACGAGGACTGTGCACGCTTGTTAACAGGTCGACTCTGATTTTATCGCGTATCGATTGTCATTCCCCCTGCGTACATACAATTATCCTTTTCCTAATCAAATTTCAACGGCTAAACGCGGATTAAACGTGGATTTTCAATTCTTCTCTCCGCCTTCTTAACCCTTTTTCCGCTGGGATGTCTCGTAAATTGATTCCTTGCACGAGATATCTCGAAATTCCCTCGCTCGTCTTTTCGTTGCACCCTTTTTAACGATGTTAATTGTTAATTGTAGTTAATTGTAAACGACCCTGTATCGCCGTTTCTGTAGTTAATAATTCGACTTTAATTAACGTTAATAATTCCATTTTCCATTCATCGAGCCATCGTTGCTGCGATACAGCGATACCACGCGAAAGCTAAAGTTAGAAGCTCGATATCTCTAGGAAAAAGAGACCTTCTCCCACCACGATCACCGCTATCAGTCCTTTCTCATTTTCTTCTCTGCTCATCTAACTTTCCCGGTTTCTTATTCTCACTTTACGTGTCTCTCTGAACCGGTTCGGAAAGACAGGCCAGGATACGAGATCGAATTCTCGTGCAGCGATCCGTGGTAAGTACGCTGCACGTAATGCCTGGAATTCTCGGCGAATGGAAGGCGACAAATGTCTGGAGACTATTAGCGAACGACCGATATTGGAATTTAGCCATCCTGCTATTAAATTAATGGTGGTCCATAAGTGCTTTCCCCTTGGGAGATGTCCGCGAACATCTTCGGACAGCTACGAACCGAAGAGAGAGAGGGAGCAAGAGTACGTCTAGATTACAAACGAACCTGGGCCACCTCTGATCGGCGAAACTATCGAACAGTTGCACAAGGTGTAACGCCTAATAATTCCTCGTTAATTTGAATTATCGTAGTAGCGTAACGTTCGTTCAATGTATCAGAAATAATGACGTTTTAATAACGTGTAACGATACGCGAGCATCGATAGATTCTCTCTAACGATTCGATTGTTTCGGTTGTCTGACAAATGGTACGCTATTTCACTGCATATACACGCCAGTGGAAACGGTACTACTCATCGCAGGAAATAGGAAACGAACAAAACCTTCGAAGGATTTGTGGTGTCGACGAGTCTGACAGCCTCGAAAACCGTTCGTTATTGTATGAAATTTGTCTGTTTCCGGGGAATGAGATGGAGGGGAGGTGATGGTAGTAAACTGTCCATTGAAATTCATAGAAACAGCCTTTCGGCATGTCGACACAGCGTACACAAAGGCGGTTGAATATTGGCGAACGCGTGGCGTCGATACGTCGAAATTTTAAAGGGTTGCAACAGCGTGGTGTCGCTACAGGCCTCGTAATTCATCGGCATTAGCGTGCCACCGATGTGTCGATACGCGGTGTAATGCGTGTCGCGTACGAAACAAGATAAAACGAAATCAGTTATCGAGGACGTTATTAGCCTGTGTGATCGCGTTAAACGATTAATTCTATTAGCTACGAAACGGTTACAATTAGGCGAACACCTACGATCATCTACCCCTCGCGGTCCTCTTCCCCCGTTTGATTTACCCGTTTCCGATTCTAACGAGCCACGGTTCGTTATCGTAATAGCCGGTGAAAACTTTGGAAAAGTTTCATTAAGTGAACCAGACCGTAGTCGAAACGGCGCGAATTAATTTTTCAATTGGTTCCCAGCGAATCTGTTTAATACACGGTGAAACGATATTGGTATTGTTCGATACTGATCCTCGTTTCGGACGATCTATCGCGGCAGATGCACGCCGTTTTGAGTATTTGCGACGTGAAGAAGTTGCAAGTCAAAATTTCATTATTTCAGTAGAGAAAATTATACACTTTATTTTGTAAATTATATACTCAAAGGAAATTTTCTATTTACGATGCTCCTCCTTTGGGACGATTTCAATTGTGTTTGAAACATTTCTGATTAAAAATTTGTCATTTTTTAAATTATACACTCCAACAATACTTTTCGATTTACGACACTCCGCTTTTCGAACGATTCAGACTGTGTTTGAAACATTTCTGATATTAAAAATGAAGGAGATATCAAAGTGTTCACCCTGTGCGTTACTCATTCGTCCAACATTTTTTGCGCATCCCGACAAAGATTCAGTGGTTGCAAGTTGTTTTTCGTCAGCAGAAGACGTCTTATCCTCGATTCCAGCAGCGAGTAGGTACGTAAAACCGTGGTTCGTCCACGCGAGAGAGATCTCGCAATTATCCGGAATACAGTTGTTTCTGGCAACGGGCCAATCCCCTCGTATCCGTAATTCATCCCGAACCGCAGTTTCTTCGTGCGCGTGATAAACGTCCGCGTGGTTGGGTTGAAAGTGGATCGGCCTCGCCCTTTCCCCGTACGATTTTCATTTTGTAAAATGCGTTGTCTTCGCGCTGCTGACTTTCCTCTTTCCCATCTACCCATTCACCGAGACATTTCTCGAATAACATCGCGGCCCGCTAATGCGACGAAACATTAAATTCCGTTTTGAGGAACGTTCCTTGTCCAAATACTTCTACAGGGTGTATGTATATACGAAATACCCGCCGTGCCTTCGCGCATTAATCTCCTCGCAATTCGAGGGGAAAACGTCTTATCCGAGAAGACGAGGCGACGCGTGGGTATGTTTGTTTGGAAATATCCATCTTTTCCAGCAATTCACTAGAGAGTTCAATCGACGGAAATTCGGCACGCTTTTATTTTCAGGATTATCAAGCGAGTCCAGATTGTCGTCACACATCGGTTTCGCACACACGCAAATGGTCCACCTTCATAATTCACAGGTGACCGTTAAAAAATATAGAATATTCCACGACCCGTGGGTGTACAAAGGGTTAAATCACGCCAGCAAGGATATTTTCCTTTTTTCTGCCCCGGCAGAAGTACATGCATGAACGCGAGAAAATTTGAACTCACCGAGTTGATGTAGTTGATGAGGGACAAACCTCCGTCCCATGGGTGTTCCAGCTCGCAGGAGATGTTCGCGGGTCTGAGCGCGTGCGACTGTTCCAGAGTCCTCAATCCAACGGCGAACACTTGCACGCTGTCGTACATGAGCGCCGGCTCCGCCTGGAAAAAAAGCGCGACGGCACTCCTCAGAGGTCTGCTCATTTCACGGCGCCGCGTTAAATATTCGCCGGCCCTCTTTTTTTATTTCTCTGCCCGGACGACAGTCCTGGGACCGTGTAAATTATGCAACCAGGTAAAATCACTCTCCGAGAGCGAGCCAGAGAGAGCGGGTTGTTGTTCGAAAATGAATGAAAATGCGCCGGGACGGGCGGCGGTACGTCGTGAAATTCTATGGACGTTTAAACCGTTTAATACGGTTTTACGAGCAGTCTTCGGGGAGTGATTCAACGTTTGCATTTTTATTTTTGCCGCGAGAATTTAAAGGGCAGTGGACGTTATCGAACGAAAACGAGCGTTGAGAGAATTTCAACGTGGAGAGAGATTAATTCTGTTGCCAGTGTTATTTTCCGCGTCGAGCGGTACAGAGCTTTATAAACGCGACTTGCACGTCTTGCGCTGTTATGAAAATAATCCGGACCCTGTCAACGAAGTTGGAAAGAGACGCGAGAACACGACATTAACGTCACGGCGGCAATATGTGAACGTGTCTCATATTCACGCGCTCCGTCTTGGCGAAATTAAAAAAGCGTTTGTCGTCCGAGCGGAGTACGTTTAATTCGCCATTTCACGCCCCGTTTGACGTATGTTGTCGCGAGTGTTCGTCTGGATTGGATTTTTATTTCAGCGACACCTCCGTGCTTCTCGAGAATCCTCTTCCGTTATTCGTTCACTTTTGAATTAGACGAAAATCTCGAGTGCCGAGAGGTGTGCTCTTGAAATAGAGAAACAGCAGGTAGCGGTACTCTAAATGCACCTGATTACCATCTTGTTGCATGTTAAATATTTTTCATATCATAATACGTACTCCATTTACGAATTTTTCTATTTTTATGGTATATTTTTGACAATTTATTTTCATAGACTATTTCTGAAAATTCCTTTTCTCGAAAACGAACGCACTCTTTCAGGATTTCTTTTACCGAATGCAAGTGAAACTAACTCGATTTCGAAGTTCTTGTCACGTCTGTGTCAGTTGTTGCAAATTGATTAATATTTTCAATAATTGTCAACACTTTTTACACCGCGAACACAAGCTTATTTCGGAAATTACACGACGATCATCGAAATTATACCGCTAATTCCGGTGCAGTTGGGTATTTCGCGCATCCAATATCGAAACGAGCAACAAAGCCATTTCAGCCAGCGATCTAATTATTTCGACGAGCGCGTTTTCAGATTCAGAGACCGAAAGCTCATTAATCTGATTGGATTAATCGTGTTCGTCCACTTCCTACCCGTTTTCCACGTCAATTTTCCGCGATTTCCTTTGACGCAAAATACCTCCGCTATAATGAGCCTGAGCACGAGCTGTTAAGTCATTTTCCGCGGGACGAATTCCGAATGCCGTAATACCCGGCAAATTCTCGCGGTCGACACGCGTCATAGGGAATTCAAAACAGGCCAGAAGTGAATCAGTTTTCGGTTTAAGCTTATTTTCAGATTTTCGCGAACTCGAAACAACCGTTTTGCTTGCCCGGCTTTAACGTTCGACGTATACACGCGCTTGCTGTACGTGTTTGATGAAGGCAAACATGGAGGGAAACTGCTGCAACGAGATCTGTTGCGTGGCTCTTGTTGAAATTTTAAAGACTTTAGAAGCCAAGACACTTTTGTATTTCTTTGACAAGTTTGTTTGTTTAATTGTCGCATAAGTGGATGCAGCAGCTTTTTGCAAGCTTCAAACGTGTAATTTACAGGGCAGAAGATGCTTTGCGTGTTAAGTGAGAGTTTGACGTAAATTTCTTAATTATTTCTTAAGAGGAGTGCAACTTAGGCAAAGAAATTTTGCAGGAAGAGGGTGAATTATTCTAACCTTCCTAGGGGAAGAGGATAATAGTAATTAATACGACGGATGTAATTTCAGAGGCGAAATCGAGAAGACGATATCGAGTACCTGTAGAATCCTGTGAATTTCGCTGGAAATTTTTTTCGACGCCTTAAGTAACATCGAAAATGAATCGAGAGAGTGTACTCAAAGGTCTGTTCAGTCTGTATCCATTGCCGATATCCCAGAAAATGTACGTTGAGAGAGTTTCATTTGAAACGAAAGGAAAAAAAAAAATAACTTCGACGTTGCTGAAATTCTTGATTAAAATTCTTACTTAACATATGATAAAAAGCAAATACAAGGGGAGAAGGAAATTTCGATTCGATAATTGCTCGTAGATTAATTTCCCATGTTTCCGTTCAGCCATACAAACTTCCGGCGAAGCAAACGATGAATACGCTCCATTTCTCTTCGAATTGACATCAGCAGTCCTCCAATTATGTACCGAACGAATGCGCTTCCAGTTACTCGGAAGAATATTGCTCTCCATGGGCGCGGAGAATTCTTGCGCGATATTTATTGGCCAGCTCACTCTCCGCGTGCCGTTAATTAGCGAATCGACCGAACGAGAAAACCAACCTGGAGAATGATAACGCGGTACTGGTTGCGCTGTATTACACATAAAACGGGCATATCTGCAAGGAATGTTTAACAGGCGGAAATATTTGTTAATCTAGGTCAGAGCGACTTTTATAGACAATTCTAAGTAGCTCTGTCCAGGTTGGTTGCATTGAATTTCGATTTTTCTGACGTTTGGGAGCACTTCCGTAATAGCGAGCACTCTTGTGACTCCCAGTACTCTCGTGGCACTCGGATATTCGTGACTCTCAGCACTCTCGTGACACTCAGCGCTCTTGATCGTGATACAGAACACTTTTGGGACTCTCGGCACTCTCAATTATAATACAGAGCACTTTTGGGACTCACAGCACTTTTGGGACTCTCAGCACCCACGTGAAACTCAGTACTGTCAATCGCGATACAGAGCACTTTTGGGACTCTCAGCACTTTCAATCGCGATACAGAGCACTTTTGCGTCTCTCAGCACTCTCAATTGTGACACAGAGCACTTTTGGGACTCTCGGCGCTCTCGACCGTGACAATCAGCATTCTCGAGGTAGTCGACACTCTCAATTGTGACGTAGAGCACTTTACTCTCAGCACTCTCAATTGTGACACAGAGCACTTTTGGGACTCTCGGCGCTCTCGACCGTGACACTCAGCATTCTCGAGGCAGTCGGCACTCTCAATTGTGACGTAGAGCACTTTTTTGACCCTCAGCACTCTCGAGCGTAACACAGAGCACTTTTGGTACTCTCAGCACTCTCGACCGTGACACTCAGTATTCTCGAGGCACTCGGCACTCTCAATTGTGACGTAGAGCACTTTTGCGACTCTCAGCACTCTCAATTGTAACACAGAGCACTTTTGGGACTCTCAGCACTCTCGACCGTGACACTCAGTATTCTCGAGGCACTCGGCACTCTCAATTGTGACACAGAGCACTTTTGGGACTCTCAGCACTCTCGACCGTGACACTCAGCATTCTCGAGGCACTCGGCACTCTCAATAGTGACGCAGAGCACTTTTGTGACTCTCAGCACTCTCGAGCGTAACAGAGAGCATGTGTCGTGAATTTCCCCATTAATTAATTTACGCAAAGTTAATTCAGTCCAACCAATTTCCAAGTATTGAAAATAACGCGTGCTATTCGACGCGAAGCCATTGGAAAACACAAAGGGGCCAGGCCGCCGAAAAGTTGTTATCGCGGGGAAATAATCAGCGGCAACAGTGTTTTCGTGTGTGCAGGATGCATTTACCGCACCACAGTCTAGCCAGTTGAAAATAATACGCCACGATACGCGGGAAAATTTCCTCGATTTTGCTGGCTTCCGGTCCGATAAAGACGAACGAGGAAATGGTCGAACATCGAGGAAACGATAAACAGCTTTCCAAATGTGCGAGTGTAGTGTCTACCCGTCTCCGGCTTCTGAATGTACCGAAAAATATTCACGAACGTGCGTCTCTCTCCATAAAACATTTTCACGCGCAATTTTCCTCTACACGTGCATTCTATTGTCCAAGAATGAATAAAAAAACGAGTTGTTTAACGAACTATTCCTCCGTTTCTGCATATCCAACATTTGCCCGTGGTAACGGTCAATAAAAGATGAACTAATATTTAATTAAATTAAACATACCTATCGAACGCACTGTAAAATCTGTTTCCATACGAAATACTCGTTACACATTTAATTAAAGTAAACATTGAAACTGTAAAATATCATCCCTCCTTTCTGCTTCATTTCGTACCGCGAAGTCAAGTTTAATAAAAGAATTTTTTCAATCAACCACTCCTCCGTTGAAACCTCCCGCTAACGACTGACTAGGTTCAAACGATATCTCCGTATTAATTAACCGTGCTCCGTATCCGAAAAAGAGGAATATATGGAAGACAAGAGTAAAATTAAGAAAGAAAATGAGGAACGTAAGGGTTGAAAGAGGAACGCGATTGGCAAACAGTTCAAACGGTAGACAAATTTAATAACGGCTTCATTTCTGGTGGACGGACAGCCGGCTGGAATCGATTCGCGATGCGGATGGCCATCAAAGCCGGCGAAGAATCATCCGCAATTTCGTTAACACGATCGTTCATTGCCGCCCGCGGCTAGATTGGAAAATACACGGGTGCAAAGAACCACCGGTAGCAATCAGAAATCTCCTCGGTCTGATAGAAATGAACACGCACATCCACGTTATCTCGGCCTAGTCGAGCCGTGATTTTAATTAGCTGAAATCCGCGAACCGATCAACTTGCAACACTATCCTACCCTATCGATCTTCAAACGAATCCTCCAATTTCTAAATTTTAGTATTTACCCGTACTTCGATTATCGTACTTTCATTTTTCTTTATTTTCCTCTTCTTCTTTTCTTTCTTTTCAAGGAAAACGACGGTGCGTGTTTGAAATACTAAGTTGCTCGAGGAGGAATCTGTCGTTAGTCTAGCCGGCTTAATTAGTTGAAGTAATCTCCTGAGCACAGGTAAGATCGGAATTTCTAAGGATCTCGTACGGCTAAGCTTCCCTCTTCTACGGTTTTTAAGAAGCTGG